ATATGAATCATGGTGACAGCGGTTTTTTTTTATTTATTTATTTTTTTTTTTTTTTAGAACGGAAATACTGTTGACTAGGTCTGTTGGAAATACGGTCACCTACCCAGGGGGGAAATACTAAAAACTCTGTACATTCCCTTTGTCAGAGGGCATTTTTATTAAATTGAAGATCATTCATGATAGAAGAATATATGTAGTCGCATCGACACAGCATGGATTTTTTAAAGAATTTTTCAAGAGGACCAAAAGAGACACAAACGTGGATTTTTTAAAGAATTTTTCTAGAGGGCTATCAGAGCCACAAACGTGGATTTTTTTAAAGAATTTTTCTAGAGGACTATCAGAGCCATAGACGTGGATTTTTTTAAAGAATTTTTCTAGTGGACTATCAGAGCCACAAACGAGGATTTTTTTAAAGAATTTTTCTAGAGGGCTATCAGAGCCACAAACGTGGATTTTTTTAAAGAATTTTTTCTAGAGGACTATCAGAGCCATAGACGTGGATTTTTTTAAAGAATTTTTCTAGAGGACTATCAGTGCCACATTTTTTAAAAACATTTTCTAGAGGACTATCAGTGCCACATTTTTTAAAAAAATTTTCTAGAGCTACAATCGTGGATTTTTTAAAGAATTTTTTTGCTAGAGCCACAAACGTAGATTTTTTAAAGAATTTTTCTAGAGGACTATCAGAGCCATAGACGTGGATTTTTTTAAAGAATTTTTGTAGAGGACTATCAGTGCCACATTTTTTGAAAAAATTTTCTAGAGCTACAATCATGGATTTTTTAAAAAATTTTTTCTAGAGCCACAAACGTGGATTTTTTAAAGAAATTTTCCTAGAGCCACAAACGTGGATTTTTTAAAGAATTTTTCTAGAGCCGCAAACTTGGATTTTTTAAAGAATTTTTCTAGAGCCACAAACGTGGATCTTTAAAGAATTTTTTCTAGAGCCACAAACGTGGATTTTTTAAAGAAATTTTCCTAGAGCCACAAACGTGGATTTTTTAAAGAAATTTTCTAGAGGGCTATCAGAGCCACAAACGTGGATTTTTTAAAAGATTTTTCTAGAGCCGCAAACTTGGATTTTTTAAAGAATTTTTTTTTAAAATCCACAGACTTGGATTTTTGAAAGAATTTTTTTAAAAGCCACAGACTTGGATTTTTTAAAGAATTTTTTTGGAGGACTATCAGAAGCCACAAATGTGGATTTTTGAAAGATCCACTAATGTGGATTTTTTAAAGAATTTTTTTAAAGCCACAGACTTGGATTTTTTAAAAAATTTTCTAGAGGACTATCAGAGCCACAAACGTGGATTTTTTTAAAGAATTTTTCTAAAAAGAATTTTCCTGTATTCTTCTACCATGACAACATCTTAGAATGTATTTCTCTATTCAAATTCGTAAAAATTGTGTGAGAAATGCACGACACAACAACCTCCGATTGACGTCGTATTAGAGAACATATAAGAATATTTTTATTTATTTTTGAAAAAAAAAAACATTTAAAACATTTTGAAATAAAAAATTTGCTATCTACATTGATTAATAACAACAAAGACCGGAATTTCTACCTGATTGCATTGTTCTGCGTTATCACGGTATTTTATCAAATAATGAGGGAAAAATAATACTTGAACTATGATGGGTATTTATTGGGGTATTTACTAAACACCAAAGTGTCGATGACCTCAAGCAAGCGCTTCACCAGCAATAGGCCAAAAAATACCGCAGAGCAATATTCGGGCAGGTAGCATGTGACTGGGTTTCATTGGTCGTTTGAAGGCCATAATTCATGCCAAAGGTGGGAAATTTGAACAAAATCTAAATTTATTCTAAAATTTGATGCTATTCGAGACATTTTTTGCTTTCATTTAATACAATTTTTTAAAAAAGAAAAACAAGTAAAAAAGCTCTAAGTTCGTCTGGGCCGAACTTCGAATACCCTCCACCATTTGGTACAAATTTAATAATTTTCAAAAAAATAAAAACCGTTAAAAATTCTCTTAAAATCTTAAAAATATCGAATGTAGCCGTATATTAGGGTCCATACGACGAAGTGGACCTGCATAGGCAATTTTTGTCACAAGCTCTTACAATATTCAAATGCGAAACTTGAAAAAAAAATCTGTTTATAACTTAGCTAAAATCATCAAAATACCGAATATAGGGAGGTACCATGGAGGTTATAAAACGTGCACATGCACAGACAATTTTCTGTCATAGGCTGTAGTATTCATTACGAACTTCAAGTACCTAAATTGAAACAATCCCGGTAAATAATGTCGCTAAAATCATCAGAATACCCAATATCTGGAGGTACCGTTATATGGGAGCTATACGAAGACGTGCACCTACATGGCTCATTTTTTGTCTTTAGCCGTAGTATCCATTACGAACCTCAAATACCAAAATTGAAACAATTCCGGCGAATAATGTGGCGAAAATCATCAAAATACCGAATTTCGGGAGGTACCGTCATATGGGAGCTATACGAAGACGTGGACCTGCACAGATAATTTTCTGTCTTAGGTTGTAGTATTCATTACGAACTTCAAATGCCAAATTTGAAACAATTCCGGCGAATAATGTAGTTAAAATCATCAAAATACCGAATAACGGGAGGTACCTTAATATGGCGGCTATGCGAAGACGTGGAGCTGCACAAACAATTTTCTGTTATAGGCTGTAGTATTCATTACGAACCTCAAATATCAAATTTGAAACAATTCCTGTAAATAATGTGTCTAAAATCATGAAAATACCGAATATGGGGAGGTATCGTTATATGGGGGCTATACGAAGACGTGGACCTGCACAGACAATTTTCTGTCATAGGCTGTAGTATCCATTACGAACTTTAAATACGAAATTTGAAACAATTCCGGTGAATAATGTGGCGAAAATCATCAAAATACCGAATATCGGGAGGTACTTTTATATGGCGGCTATACGAAGACGTGGACCTGCACAGACAATTTTTTTGTCTTATGCTGTAGTATATATTAGGAACTTCAAATACCAAATTTGAAACATTTCCGGTGAATAATGTCGCTAAAATCATTAAAATACCGAATATCGGAAGGTAGCGTTTTATGGAGGCTATACGAAGACGTGGACCTACATGGCTCATTTTCTGTCTTAGGTTGTAGTATCCATTACGAACTTTAAATACAAAATTTGAAACAATTCCGGTGAATAATGTGGCGAAAATCATCAAAATACCGAATTTCGGGGGTACCGTCATATGGGAGCTATACGAAGACGTGGAGCTTCACAGACAATTTTCCGTCATAGGTTGTAGTATCCATTACGAACTCCAAATACCAATTTTGAAACAATTCCGGTGAAAAATGTCGCTAAAATCATCCAAATACCGAATATGGGGAGGTACCGTTATATGGGAGCGATACGAAGACGTGGACATACATGGCTCATTTTCTGTCTTAGGATGTAGTATTCATTACGATTTTCAAATACAAAAATTGAAACATTTCCGGTGAATAATGTCGCAAAAATCATTAAAATACCGAATATCGGGAGGTACTTTTATATGGCGGCTATACGAAGACGTGGACCTGCACAGACAATTTTTTGTCTTAGGCTGTAGTATATATTAGGAACTTCAAATACCAAATTTGAAACATTTCTGGTGAATAATGTCGCTGAAATCATCAAAATACCGAATATCGGGAGGTACCTTTATATGGGGGCTATAGGAAGACGTGGACATACATGGCTCATTTTCTGTCTCTGGTTGTAGTATCCATTACGAATTTCAAATACCAAATTTGAAACGTTTCCGGTGAATAATGTCGCTAAAATCATCAAAATACCGAATATGGGGAGGTATCGTTATATGGGGAATATACCAAAACATGGACCGATATATCTCATTTTCAATACCAACCATCCTAGACACAATACAAATTGTTCTGCTAAATTTTGACGCTCTCCGTCAAATAATGTGGGCTGTATCGTGATTTCAACAGACGGACATCGTTGAGTCGACCATCAGCTGTGTCGATGCGACTACCTGTATTCTTCTCCCATGTCAAAATGACCATGAGCATATACGTCAAATAAATCACCATAAAAGGGGGAAACCCCGTAAACAAAAATCTCGCTAAACATACTCTGAGAAACATACTCTGAGAAATAAACATATTCTGAGAAATAAACATACTCTGAGAAACATACTCTGAGATACATACTCTGAGAAATAAACATACTCTGAGAAATACATTCTAAGGCTGCAAATACATAAAAAGCTTGAAGTCATGGCTAGGCATATTAATGCCAAATTATAATGAAAAACGACGGCAGGATTTTAGTGCGGCTCTGTAATTCCTTTGTGAAATGTCACAAAATAGGCCGTGCCATGACTTCAAGCTTCTTATGTACTTAGCCCTTAAGATGTTGTCATGGTAGAAGAATACAGGTAGATGCATCAACGCTTGGGAGCATTGATATCTCAAAATTGTTTAAATGTTTCTTCAAAAATAGAATGTTTTCATAGTTCATAGATCCAGCAGCTGTGTGGATGCGACTACACATATTCTTCTATCATGGATGATGTTTAATCTAATAAAAATGCCCTCTGACAAAGGGAATGTACAGAGTTTTTAATATTTTTTGTCACTCTCTTACCCAAAGTGCACTCTGTACTTCAATTAAACTGGATTCCATTTAATTATATTAAATTATTAAAAAAAAAAAAACTGGAAAATTATGACGTTAGACCTTGTTGTTGTGTTATCTCACCCAGTATATATATATATATATATATATATATATATATATATATATATATATATATATATATATATATATATATATATATATATATATATATATATATATATATATATATGCATATATATATATACTTTCTTTTTACTTTCTTTTCAACCATCAGTAATTAATTTATTAGGGATATTCCCTAGCCACCATTAGGGAATACCCCTATACTATACGGCCAATTTGTGCTATAAATACTTTTTACACAAAGCAATGCCGGTCAGTCAGTCAAACAGCATTCATACTTTACTTCGTTGGTATTCGAAAATATTTTGTTTATCTTTTTTGAATTGTCTAAGTGCACAGATAGAACTTGAACCGATTACAAAGAAATACGTAAAATTGTCCAAAAATTGCCTAGACGCCAGTGTTCGCCGAAATGTCAAAATACAATAACATAATAACAAATGTCAAAATAAAACAAAAAAATAAAACGAAAATGAAAATATCAATGGGTAGGTACATTAGAAACAGTGACATACATATAAAACTAATGGCGGTGTTTATACGATGGAAGATTAACCCATTGGGTTTAATAGATCTCAAGGGCTAACCTTGTGTGTTTTTAGATACAGCCCCTGGGCGAAGAACATGTCAAAACGATCTTGGAAGTGAATAAAATTTGAATTAAAAATTATTGGAATTTGTAAAAAAAAAATTATTGAATAACGCCCATCATAAAAACACTTAATCACAAATGGAGTTATCGATAAAATACACAATACCAAAAAAAAAAAAATTATGATTAATTGATTTTTTTTTTAATTATTCTCTAACCGAATATACTTTCCTCTTTTTTTTTTTTACAGCTCTAAAAAAATATATCTCCATAAATTACCATCAAATGCTAAAAGATAATCCAAATTTATTTCACAAATATTTGCAATTGCACAACAACGATAAGGCCCTAGTTGATTCGATAAATAATTATCAAGAAAACGTATTACACATAGCATGCAAATCGGACATGACATCGACGCTGATAAAACCTCTAATACAATGCGGCTGTAGTCCAACGAAACAGGATCTTCAGGGTCGTACACCGCTACATGTGGCTCTTGAGTTTCGCCAATATTCTTGTATCAAAGAATTTCTATTGCTATTCCACACTGATATGTTGTATCCAAAACATATTGTGGATAGGCTAAAGCATATGTTTCAGATATATAATCGTGCCGGACATACTATCGTACACGAAGCCGTTATACGTAATGAACCCGATATTCTGAGAGAATTGCTGCGAATATGCCAACAACATGACATTAATGTTTTGGATAATGAAGTGTTGGGTAGTGGCGATACATTGCTACACTTGGCCATCAATCGAAAGGTGGATACAGAAATCATAGATATAATAATTGATTATTTACCGGAAATCGTACATATATCCAATTACTCGGGTATGTTGGCCATGGATGGTACTGATGCAGAATCCAAAGTTACCTAATGAAAATTTTGTCAGTTCTTTTTTGCTCTGTTCCGGAACAGAGAAAATGTGATTTATATGTGATATGTTTGCCCTATTGGCCAAATAAAAATATGTATATGAGAATGTATTAAGACATGTTTTTTTTTAGCCCTGGTTTTTTCGAACATACTTTCTGATTTCTGTTGAAAACTCGGTATGCAATTGTGTTATCGAACAGATATTTTATATGAAACTGTGTTATCAAATCAATTTTCTACAGAAAACTATATTATCGAAGAGATTTTCTATAGAAAACAACATTATCGTATAGATGTTCTATGAACAACTATGTTATCGGGGAGATTTTTCTGTGGAAAATAATGTTATCGGAGAGATTTTCTATGGAAAACAGTGTTATCGATCAAATTTCCTTTGGGGGCAAATTGTGTTATCCACCATATTTTCTATGAAAACTGTGTTATTGATAAGATTTTCCATGGAAACTGTGTTATCGAAGAGATTTTCAATGGAAAACTGTGTTATCGAACATATTTATATGGAAAACTTTGTTATCGCAAAGATTTTCTATAGAAAACTCTGATATCGAAAATATATTCTCTAAAAAACTGTGTTATCGAACCGATTTTCTACAGAAAACTGTGATAGTGAACCGATTTTCTTTAACAACATCTGTTATCGAAAATGTTTACTATAGAAAACTGTGTTATCGAACAGATTTTCTATGGAAAACTGTGTTATCAAAGAGATTTTCTATAGAAAACTGTGTTATCGATCAAATTTTCAATGGAAAACTATTTTATTGAAAAGATTTTCTCTTAAAAAAATTTGTTATCGAAAACATTTTCTGTAGAAAACTGCGTTGTCGAACAGATTTTCTATAGAAAACTGAGTTATCGGACAGATTTTCTATAGAAAATTGTGTTAACGAACAGATTTTTAAGGAAAATTGTTTTATCAAACTGATTTTCTATGAAAAACTATGTTATCGGGCAGAATGTCTATGTAAAGCTGTGTTATCGAAAAGATTTTCTACAGAAAACTGTGATATTGAACCGATTTTGAGTAGAAAACTCTGTTATCGAAAATATTTTCTCAGGAAAACTGTGTCATCGAACAGATTTTCTATAGAATATTGTGTTATTGAAAAGATTTCTAAGGAAAATTGTGATATTGAACCGATTTTCTGTAGAAAACTTTGTTATCGAAAAGATTTTATATAGAAAACTGTGTTATCGATCAAATTTTCAATGGGAAACTATTTTATTGAAAAGATTTTCTCTTGAAAAACTCTGTTATCGAACAGATTTTCTATGGAAAATTGTGTTATCGAATAGATTTTCTATAGAAAACTGAGTTATGGAGCATTTTTTTAGGAAAACTGGGCTACCGAGCAATGTTTTTTTAGGAAAACTGTGATATCGAACCGATTTTCTATAGAAAACTGTGTTATCGAACAGATTTTCTATGGAAAACAGTGTTATCGAACCGATTTTTTAAGGGTTAACTGTGTTATCGAACAGTTTTTCTATGGAAAACTATGTTATCGAACAGATTTTCTATGGAAAATTATTTTATCAAACACATTTTCTTTGAAAAACTTTTTTATCGAACACATTTTCTATAGAAAACTGTGTTATCGAATAGATTTTCTATGAACAACTATGTTATCGAACAGATTTTCTATGGAAAACTGTGTTATCGAACCTATTTTCTAGGTTATCGAACCCATTTTCTATGAAAAACTGTGTTATCGAAGAGATTTTTTTATGGAAAACTGTGTAATCGAACCGATTTTTCTTTGAAAAACTCTTTATCGAACACATTTTCTATAGAAAACTGTGTTATCGGAAAGTTTTTCTATGGAAAACTGTGTTATCGAATATATTTTGTATGGAAAACTGTGTTATCGAACATATTTATATGGAAAATTTTGTTATCGCAAAGATTTTCTATAGAAAACTCTGATATCGAAAATATATTCTCTAAAAAACTGTGTTATCGAACCGATTTTCTATGGAAAACTGTGTTATCGAACCGATTTTTCATAGAAAACTGTGTTATCGAACAGTTTTACTATAGAAAACTATCTTATCGAAAATATTTTTATAGAAAACTGTATTATCGAAAAGATTTTGCTTATAAAACTATGTTATCGAACAGATTTTCTAAGGAAAACTGTGATATTGAACCGATTTTCTGTAGAAAACTTTGTTACCGAAAACATGTTATCTAGAAAACTTTGTCATCGAAAAAATTTACTATAGAAAATTGTATTATCGAATAGATTTTCTATGGAAAACTGTGTTATCAAATAAATTTTCTATGGAAAACTGTGTTATCGAACAGACTTTCTAAGGAAAACTGTATTATCGAACCGATTTTCTATAGAAAACTGTGTTATTGAAGCTATTTTCTATAGAAAACTGTGTTATCGAACAGATTTTCAATGTATAACCATGTTTTTGAACCGACTTTCTATGGAAAAATGCGTTATCGAACCGATTTTCTATGCGAAACTATGTTATCGAACCGATTTTCTATAGAAAACTGTGTTATCGAGGAGATTTTCTAAGTGAAACTGTGTTATCGAACAGTTTTGCTATGAAAAACTGTGTTATCGAACATATTTTCTATGGATAGCCATGTTTTTGAACCAATTTTCCATAGAAAACAGTGTTATCGAAAATATTTTCTCCATAAAACTATGTTATCGAACTCATTTTCTATAGAAACCTCTGTTACCGAAAATATTTTTAGAAAAAATTGTGTTTTCGAACAGATTTTCTATGAAAAAGTGTGTTATCGAGCAGGTTTTATGTGGAAAACTTTGTTATCGAATCGATTTTCTCAAGGAAAACTATTTTATCGAACAGATTTTGTATTGAAAACTGTGTTATCGAACAGATTTTCTAAGCAAAACTGTGTTATCGAACGTATTTTCTACAGACAACTGTGTTATCGATCAAAGTTCCTTTGGGAAAACTGTGTTCCAGAACTGCAAGAATGTACAATTTTTTTACTACCATAACCGATTTCAACTTTATTATATCAGAAAAATTGCAAGTTCTGGAACAGAGCATAAATCAATATTATGAAGCAAAGAAAATACAATTGCCACATAAAATGACATCTTAATTTTTAAAATTTCACGAAAAAAAAAACAAACACAAAAATACCAAGAATCCTTTATTTTATTAGAACAAAAACTTTTCGGAGCGTAGGTTGTAACGATTCAAATTTCAGCGATATGAAACACCATATCGTAATTAATTACATAGCAACATTGTGCGGAAACATTTCCCAGAAAACGAATCACAACAATATCCTTAAATATTGCTTTCGTTCTTTCACATTCCTTGCCTCCCGCATAGATGGGGAGTCATAAATCACCATAGCTGTGCGTATTTACTCAAACTTTTCTCAGAAAAACGGGGAACACATAGAAACTGTTTTTTCTTTTTCCTAATTGATTTTTGGCCCACAATGGCTTTAAATATTTTCCTCCCATTTGGTTTCATCCATAAGAGTCCAATATCAATTTGCGGAAATTAAAATAAATATGTTTCTTTTTGCAATAAAAGCAATAACAAAATAAAAAGTAAACCTGCCTGACTGTGACATGTGACAAAGGCACTCTCTCTCTCTCAAATCTCATGCTCCCACCCACAAATGTCAAAAATGGTTGTTTGTTTAAGTAATTTATTGCAGGCAAAAGTCTTGGCCACCCTAAGATCACAAATCATTTTTCAAGTCTTAAAATGTATGCATGGCAACCCAGTTATTTACAGTTATGGGACATTGTGACGACAGTTACCATTGTAACAAGATTTTGTGTCAATAACACAAATGTCAATGGCGGAAATCTCTGCAATATTTTTTGAATCTCTGGGAACAATTTAAGTACAAACATTAAATTTGGGGGTAAATTATTGATTTTCCGGAAAATAACGACAAGATTTGTTTTGTGATAGATAAATAAATGCATGTTTTGAGTACCTGCTAGAATCTACTAGTTTTTTTTTTAGATCATAAAGGCAATATCTGTTATGGAAGTAAAAAAATACAATCTGGCAGCACGACGACGTGGACCTGCATAGATAACTTGTGTCATGAGGCATTACAATATTCAAATGCGAAACTTGAAAAAAATCGATGAATAATGTAGCTGAAATCATCAATATCGGAAGGTACTATTATATGAAGGCCATACCAAAATGCGGACCTGCACAGACACTTTTCTGTCATAGGCTGTAGTATCCATTACGAACTTCAAATCCCAAATTTGAAACATTTCCGGTGAATAATGTCGCTAAAATCATCAAAATACCGAATATCGGGAGGTACTTTTATATGGCGGCTATACCAAGACGTGGACCAGCACAGACAATTTTCTGTCTTCGGCTGTCGTATTCATTACGAACTTTAAATACGAAATTTGAAACATTTCCGGTGAATAATGTCGCTAAAATCATCAAAGTGTCGAATATCGGGAGGTACTTTTATATGGCGGCTATACGAAGACGTGGATCTGCACAGACAATTTTCTGTCATAGGCTGTACTTTCCATTACGAACTTCAAATACCAAATTTGAAACAATTCGGGTTAATAATATCGCTAAAATCATCAAAATACCCAATATCGGGAGGTATCGTTATATGGGGGCTATACGAAGACGTGGACCTGCACAGACACTTTTCCGTCACAGGCTTTAGTATCCATATCGAATTTCAAATACCAAATTTGAAACAATGCCGTTGAATAATGTGGCGAAAATCATCAAAATACCGAATATCGGGAGATACCATTATATGGCAGCTATACGAAGACGTGGACCTGCACAGACAATTTTCTGTCTTAGGCTGTAGTATTCATTGCGAACTTCAAATACCAAATTTGAAACAATGCCGGTGAATAATGTCGGTAAAATCATTAAAATACCGAATATGGGGAGATACCGTTATATGGGGGCTATACAAAGACGTGGACCTGCACAGACACTTTTCTGTCATAGGCTGTAGTATCCATTACGAACTTGAAATCCCAAATTTGAAACATTTCCGGTAAATAATGTCGCCAAAATCATCAAAATACCGAATATTGGGAGGTACCATTATATGGGGGCTATA